ACAAAATACTCTGATAGATTCTGTGAAGGTTGTATTAGTTTACAATTACAGAGTCTTTTCACCACTTGGACATCTGGGAATAACATAATTGATAATTTTATTCAACAATGTCAAATGAAATCATCTCTGCCAGGCTATATTTTAGAATGGATACCTTTTGAACAATTTGATTATGTAACAAAGTTGACTGAAGGTGGATTTAGTTCAATTTATACTGCTACATGGACAAGAGGACAAATAAATGATTATGATGAAAATAAAAAGGAATTTAGTTATTCAGCAGGGTGGTTAGTAGTATTAAAAAGTTTAAACAATTCAATTAATCCAGGAAAAGCCTTTTTTGATGAGGTTGGTAGTTGTCATTAAAACAAAATAAACAATACTGTATTATATAATATTAATTGGTTTTATATTTAATTACAGGCAATGAATTATTGTAAAATTAAATCACCACGGATTGTTCAGTGCTATGGTATAACTAAATTCCCAGATAATGGAAATTATGCAATGGTTTTAAATTATCTTAGTGAAGGAAATTTAAGGGGTCACTTGCAAAAAAATCATTTAAATTTGACATTAAAAGACAGGATTAAAATCTTTAAATCTTTATGCAATTCATTATATCGTATACATGAAAAAGATTTAATCCATTGTGATTTACATAGTGGTAATATACTTGTGGAAGGAGGTGGTTGTTTTATTACAGACTTGGGATTATGTGGACCGGTTGATGAAAAGTCATCAAATAAAATCTATGGAATTGTATCATATGTTGCACCTGAGCTACTTAGAGGCAAAATTAATGCAAAGAACACCAAAGAAACTGATATCTATAGTGTTGGAATGTTAATGTGGGAAATATTTGCAGGTCATCCACCATTTGATGATAGAGCTCACAATTATCATTTGGCTTTTGATATATGTGAAGGTTTACGACCACCAATATTATCTGAAATGCCTGATGATTATGTGCAAATGATGCAGAAGTGTTGGAATGTGGATCCATCAAAAAGACCAACTACTAGAAGGCTTTTGGCTTTTGCTGATAAAAAGTTTAGTGGAATTCATACAGCTGAAAGTTTGAAAGATAATAGTAACAATAATAAAAATTTTGGTAGCAGCAGCAATGGTGGTGGTGGTGGTGATTTGCAACAAGTACACAAATCACATCCAGGTGCATATTATACAAGTAGAATATTAAATGAGGAGATTGCTAAATCTATAAGATTTAAAAATTATACAAATAATGATGGTTCATTAAATAGTTTTGATTTTCTCTTAAATGCTGAAGGTGAATAAAATTTTATTATTAATTAATTGGAAATTACTATCCATTAATTATATTACTAACAATTTGATTCGATTGATTAATAAACATCAGATTCTAGTATATAATTAAAAGATGAATGATCTCGCACGGAATTTGGAAAATTACAAAAATAGACATTTTCCCGAGTACCATCACAACCTTTCTTATTTAGAAAATGATATTCAATGCACCCTGCTTTTGTTTAAAAATTTTTTTATTTATCCCAAATAAAGCGATAACATGTGTAAAACATAAAAGTTCCCTTGGAATTTTCACACTTTTAAATCCGGCTTAAATGAATTTCATATCAAAAGGCTTGGCCCAAATTTTTTATAGCTTACTAAGTGCAACTTTAAAAAAAAATTTAATTTTTTGGAATTTTGAAAAATACGCTTATTTCGTACCAATAAAACATCTAAAAAAGAAAAATCGAAAAAAATCGCTGGTCAATTAGTAATTTTTTTGTCTAGTAGGGGTCTACATTTTTTTTAAAAAATTCCGTGCCGATTAGCACGGAATTCTTGTACGTTTAATATCAAGGATGAATTTATTTGTTATATATAATTACTTATTTCATTTTTATTTCATTTATTAAAGCTAATTTATAATAATAATAATATTTTGAAGTGATAGGCTTTTTACAGTTTTCTGATTCTTGTTAAACAAGCAACTCCATTTTTCTTGTACCTATATAGAAAGCTTTAACAAATATATAAGCACACTTGATGGTACCAAATAACCGTAAATAAATAAAATGGCTCTTTTATAAAACTCAAAGGTTTCTTCAATTGTTTTTTTTAGGAATTTTTATAATGTTTGGTGCAATTCTTTTTTTTAAAAAAAATTGATCGCTCTTGAGGAGCACATATCATTTTTGTAAGCCAATAGTAATGGGTCAATGACTTTTCGCAGTCGTCTAAATTTTTATTCGACGATATAAAAAAAGGTGATTAAAAAATATCTATATAATAATGGTCATAAAACACGACAAATTTAAAAAATTCCCACAATACGTCCTCTTTCTTCTATATATATATATAAATAAATAACAATGCAACGTCTACTCTCCATAGGAAATTTCAAATTAGCAGCAGTTGTAAAACCTATACGACCAAGGGTATGAATTGCTCATATAATCATTTAAAACATTTTGAAAATGCAATTCACAAGTCTAAATTAAAGTTTTGAGTTTTGTTGCAAAAAAATTTTTTCTGTATGACAATAGTATTTTACTTCAGTCAAACAATCAAAAATTCCATTACCTGAAGAATGGTCTAAACTTGTAACTAAAGAACTAAAAGGAAAAGATCCAGAAAAGGTTTTGACGTGGCACACTTCTGAGGTAAAAATACTTGTAATATTAATGATTTAATTTTACATTATATATAATTTGGAAAAAAATTACATGCTTGCTTAATTTATAAGGGCATAGATGTCAAACCTGTATTTACAAAAGCTGATGTAGAAAATGTTGCGGATGAAGTTCCTGGAAAATATCCTTTTACAAGAGGTCCTTACGCGTCCATGTATACTGCAAGACCATGGACTATACGACAGGTAAAACAAAAAATCAATTGAATCAATCGATTGATTTAATCTATTAATTGTTTTGACATTTGAATTTTTTTTTTCCCCCTAGTATGCTGGATTCAGTACAGTTGAAGAATCCAATGCTTTTTATAGAAAAAATTTAGCTGCGGGTCAACAAGGTTTATCAGTTGCTTTCGATTTGGCTACACATCGAGGGTATTTGTTTATATATTTATAAATCTTAAATTCAAATTTATGTTATTTTCAATTGAGTTAATTTGATTTCACCATCGTTTGATATAGATATGATTCTGATCATCCTCGTGTGGTAGGAGATGTAGGTATGGCTGGTGTAGCAATTGACTCAGTTGAAGACATGAAGGTGTGTGCAATCTTGATTGATTGTATAAAACGAATGATGGTTATTTAAAAAATGATTATAATAATATTTTCCTCATTTGATTTCTTTAGATTCTTTTTGATGGTATACCTTTAAATAAAATGTCAGTATCAATGACAATGAATGGTGCAGTTTTACCAATTTTGGCAATGTATATTGTCACTGGTATAGAACAAGGTGCACAGTTAAAAGAACTTTCTGGCACTATCCAAAATGATATTTTAAAAGAGTTTATGGTTCGTAACACCTTTGTTTATCCTCCTGAACCATCCATGAGGCTTATTGGTGATATATTTTCTTATATTGCAAAGGTTTGCTTTACATATGATTTATTTCATATTTTTTTTTGGGGGGATTTATAGGTTCTGATTATTATTATTATTTATTTTTTCATAGCATATGCCAAAATATAATTCCATTTCTATATCAGGATATCATATGCAAGAAGCTGGAGCTGATAATGTACTTGAATTGGCTTTTACAATTGCTGATGGTTTGGAATATATCAGAACAGGCAAGTTTTTTTTTTTGAAAAAAAATTTATTATAAAAAAATTTCAAGTACATAATATATGTATATATTATATATATATATATAGGAATTAAAGCTGGTATGACAGTAGATGATTTTGCACCACGTTTATCATTTTTTTGGGGTATAGGGATGAATTTTTACATGGTGATTTATTATTATTATTATTATTATTATTATTATTATTAGTTCACTTAAAAGATTGTTATATATATATACATATACATACATATATCTCATCTTTATTATTTATAGGAAATAGCAAAAATGCGAGCAGCTAGACGTTTATGGGCACATATGGTAAATGAAAAATTTCAACCAAAAAATCAAAAATCGTTGATGTTACGTACGCATTGTCAAACATCTGGATGGTCACTTACAGAACAAGTATGTTAAAAATATACATCATCAATGTATATATATGTTTTGATGTTAAAGTAAAGCACTTTTAACAACGACGGAACATT